TTGATCTGTCTGAGTCATTAGCAACAATCAGACTTGTAGATCTTTGTCGTTTCTATTATTGCAGGACACAAGATTACTTTCTGAAAAGACATTATGTTGACAGTTGACCATGTTTTTAATATGCATTCTGACTCCCAGCAGCTTCTCTAGGTCCTTGTGAAAAAAACAAAACTATGACAGTCGTGATGCAGTTCTATTTGCAATTTGACCCCCCCAAAAATGCATGCAAACAGACCTTTTTTTTTTTTTTTTCAGCAGACTTTTTTTAAATGACGTAGAAGGACGGAGAGACATGCTTGGATGTAATAATTAAACATTTGTTACATTTTTTGATAAGCATTGTCCACTGAAAATCCATAACTACCAAAAGTAGAGTAGAGTTGGATGACTGAAGGTTTACAAAATGCTTGTTAAATGCACTTCATAAAAATTTCACAAGACTAAGAACTAAAGAAGCTGAAACTAAACATAAGAGATACAAGAATGAATTTAATATTATAAAGAAATATTAGATGAAACATAAAGGTGCTCAGGTGCCCAAGCCTCCATGGGGCCCTAAGCAAAATTTGGTTTGGGGCCCTCTATTTCTGCTAATAATGTGGATTACTGCAATGATGATCAGATAATTCACCCATCTAACATAAACTCATTTCAACTCTGACAGCCCTGTTTACATTATCCTATATGTATATATCATCTTGTGCTGGGGTGTAAAACTCATTTTTATTGTGGGCCACATCAACCTCATGAAAGTCCTCAAAAGGACAGATATGGCAGAATGTATTGGTAAAACTATTAACATAGTGGTAAAATAATAACTTTCTCTGTATTCGATGACTACTTCTAAAAATTAAATATTTTCTGTTTGAGTAATTTGGTATTGTAAACATAAAAACTGTTTTGATATGACTGATGAAGCAGTCCAAGAAAGCCAACTTGCCATGAGGTCTCAGTCTCTGATAGAGGACATTTGCAAACTGAGGTGTACCGCAAACCCACACACACAGACCAGTATTTGCAGTTTGACTCCCATCACCCTTTGGAGCACAAGTTAGGAGTCATCAGGACTCTGTATCACAGAGCAGACAGCGTCCCCACTAACTCAGGAGCCAGGCAGAAGGAGAAATCCTACACAAAACAGGCTCTAGAGCAATGTGGATATCCTAACTGGGCCCTCCTGAAAGCAGAGAAGAACCCCAAACAGGACTCCAGTCCAAAGAGTAATTTGGTATTATAAACATAAAAACTGTTTTGATTTAACTGATGAAGCAAAAGTGTCATCTGATTTATTATCATTGGTTCCAAAGAACTGTAACAGTAATGTTCAAAATTGCTTCCATTAGGTAAAATTATTAAACAGCATGGGATAAATTTTCATTGTTATGCTGATGATACACAATTATATTTGTCCATTAAACCCAATGAATCCAATCAGCTACTTAGACTACAAGCATGTCTTAAAGACATAAAAACCTGGATGACCCTTAATTTTCTCCTTTTGAACACAGACAAAACTGAGGTTTTGGTTTTTGGACCAGAGCACCTTAGGAATTAATTTTTCAGTCTTTCTCCCTCCTTAGATGGCATTAACCTGTCCTCCAGCTCTAATGTTAAAAATCTTGGGGTTAGTGAAACTGAAGTCACTTTTTCAGGGATGAAGATGTTCACATCCTGGACAGAGAGGAACAATGGTTTGAGAGAGGAGTAAAGGAGGCCATCTTTGTGAAAAGAAATCGTTCATCATTAAACAGGGTCTTAAACAGGCCTCCGGGTCCAACTGTCCCCCTCTTACAATGCTGTTATTGCTAGTATCACTCAGCCCTTTGTGAACAGTAAACAGCCATCAGTGTGCTAATGACCCATTGTTAGGCTGATGGTCCTTCTTGACCATGTGAGCAGCTGGTTTTGGTTGTCAGCAGCAAAACAGGTTGATCCACTCTGAGAAGGTGCTATTTAAGAGACTGAGCTGAATACAGCACCTCAGACTGAGGAAGTCTCTCGGATGAGAGACGAAACGTTTCTATATATTTTTGCTTTGTTTTGTTTTTTTGAATGTCCAGAGGACCAGATTGAACTTTTGGACTCTTCCCTGTCTGTTTTTAAACCTTGACTTTTTATCATTTTAATTGCTTTTTATTATCCAACTGTATGATTGTTTTATTATGTGACTTTTAATCATTCTAATCACTTTTATTATCTGACTGTATGATTTATTTTTATTATGTGTACTGTACAGCACTTTGGTCCTGTGTGTATAAAGTGCTCAATAAATAAAGCTGGTATGGTATGTGTAAAGGGAAACAAAGATCTCTGCTCCTCTCCCCTGTCTGGATCATTTGCTGGGAAGGAACACAAGTTTATGTCAGAATTAAGCAACACCTTTATTTGTTACAGACTTCCAAATGCATGAACAAGAGAGAATTGTATACATATTTATATTTTACCTGCATTCAGGGGCCCTCTGTACAATTCTGAGGTGCTCAAGTCTGTTCCTACATTTATAGACTGTCTTTCTCCACACAGTGACATTTCCTGTTTTCAATTCCTGTCCAATAAACACCTTACAGACTCTCTGAAGTCCCTGTCCAATCAACCAGGCACACATTAGTTCTCATCTCTTTCCACTGAATCCGTGACACATTACAAGAACCAGTTTTACATAATCTTACAAAGACTGTGAGATTCTGATTATCCCCTTGGCAACCTGTTACATTATCTTTAGATTGCTCCACTAAAAGCCAGGGTCCCTTTGACTTATTAAGCTACTCTTTTACTCATTAATTATTTTTTCATCCCCCAACAACACTCAAATGATGTGAACTATAATTTAACTTCAGTTACCTGAGCAAGAACCTGTTTGATGCTTTGTTTGTCATTAAAGGCCTCATTAGAAATAAGTAACTATTTTCCTACGGACAGCAGAAAGTGTCATGGTTTGATTTTAAAGTTAGCAGTCGCTGAAAAGATATTTATTGGCTTATGGCCACATCTAACAGAAATTCTAGCCATCTTTATATGATCTATTTTCCATAATTCATAATTAAACCTAATATTCCCTAATCCATATTATGTTATTTTCCACCATTTATCATCAAACATTATTTAATTCCCAACATATGGTATGGTATAATAAAGTATGAAACAATGATGGAATATATTACAGTGTTTGTCAGTTTCATGTGGTTAAAGTCCCCCACAACCATGTACAGTGCCTTGCGAAAGTATTCAGCCCCCTTGAACTTTTCAATCTTTTGCCACATTTCAGGCTTCAAACATAAAGATATAAAATTTAATTGTTTTGTGAAGAATCAACAACAAGTGGGACACAATCGTGAAGTGGAAGGAAATTTATTGGATGTGTCAAACTTTTTTAACAAATAAGAAACTGAAAAGTGGGGCATGCAATATTATTGGGCCACTTTACTTTCAGTGCAGCAAACTCACTCCAGAAGTTCAGTGAGGATCTATGAATGATCCAATGTTGTCCCAAATGA